TGTGTGTGTGTGTGTGTGTGTGTGTGTGTGTGTGTGTGTGTGTCCAGTATAATATGACACCAGCAGCAGAGGTAAAGGGTTCATGGATTTAGGAACAATAATTTGTTTTGCTGCAATGCCACTGCAATGCAACACCCTTTGTCTTGTTCTTTGTGTGTGTGTGTGTGCGTGCATGCACGTGCATGCGTGCGTGTGTGTGAGAACAAATATTTGAGCGGGACAGAGACGGGCGATCGTCTCCTGTCAGACAATATATGATGGAAAGAAGTAAAAGGACAGAAGGAAGCTGAGAAGCTGACTCTGATCACTTCTTCTCATTTTAACCTTTGCTGTTTTTGCCCAACAGTGTAATTAGAACTGATATTAATAAATTATATCTGTGTGTGTGTGTGTGTGTGTGTGTGTGCACGTTGGCAGCTCCAGCGCTCACCCTACCTGACCTCCACTAAGTCACTGGTTTTATGACCTCCTCTGATTCACGTCCTGCTGGTTTCCCTCTGCACTGTCGAGCGAAACGATAAATTTGTCATCTGAGCAGCAGAACCTCTAAGACTCCAGCTGCTGGTGGAACTTTAGCATTTAGCAGCTAAACGGAGCAGATATTTATCTTTTCAGGACCAAACACAGAAATAAAGGAAACACTGGACACGACCACCACTCTCAATGTAGTTCAGTGTTCTTCAAGAAGTTACAATCGTTTTGTAAAGTGGTGATAAGGAGAAAAAACTGAAATCAGTAAAACAGGAAATTTAAAATACTATTTTGTATCTGAACAAGCAAAAACTTTCTGCTGTTTTTCTGTTTCTCTTTTAGTCTGTTTCTAAATCGTCTGACTAACGCCTCTCTAACGTCTCTCTAACGCCTCTCTAATGTCTCTCTAATGTCTCTCTAATGTCTCTCTAGCTCCATGGACCAATCATCATGAGACTCTCCCTGCTCCTCCCCCTCCTACAGTCCCCACCCCTTCCTGGGCTCAGCCGCCGCTGTCTGTCAGCGCTCTCGTCCAATGGCAGCGCTGCATCGTCGCTCAGACGCCTCAGCACAGACCCCGGCCCCGCCCCCCAGCCTGTGATTGGCCAGGACTCAGTGGAGGTGTTGGGCCAGTCCCACCCCCGTGATGACTTCACCAATGTGACACCAAAGATCTTGGCCACGGTCGGCCGCAACCTCCACAACCAACCCCATCATCCCCTGTGGCTGATCAAGGAGCGAATCAAAGCCCACTTCTACAGGTGGGCGGGGCGGTTCTTCAATCTGTTGCTTAGCAACAACCAAACTTATTTTTTTAAATTAAAAACAGAACAGATGTGACAGGTGAGGCGACGAGGAGCCAGAAGAAGAAGAATGATTTTAAAAATAAATACAACAGGATTCAGGACAAAGACCAAACACACAACAGAAGAGACAATTTAAAAAAGTCGACTAACGATCAGACAAAAGTTAAACTACTGAGCAAGACGCCAGAAACATCATCACTGATGATAGAAAGAGTAGAGAGATAGATTCTGTTCTAGAAATGAGGTGATGGAGGAATTCTCAAAAT